TAGGGCATATCGCGATATGCACTGAATCCCGAAATGCACTACAACATTACCACTTTTGTTGATGATATCGTTGTTTTCTCGAAATCTAAGCAGGACCATGCACAGCATGTCGTAACAGTGATTGATCGTCTCACGAATGCTAATCTCATCCTGCAACCAAAAAAGTGCTTTTTCATGCAAAGATGCGTGTATCTTCTTGGCTTTTGCATTGATCAATATGGCCATAAGCCTGACAGGCGTAAAGTCATCAATGCACAAACATGGCCAACACCACGTACAGCAAAAGACATACAAGCATACATCGGTTTCATCAACTATTTTCGTGACCACATACCTTAGATTGCCGACATAACCAAACCTTTGGATGAGCTACGCAATGCAAGCAACGTGCCAGACCAATGGGGTACCCGACACCAAAGGGCCTTTGATAAACTCAAGCATGCATTACTACATGCCCCAATCTTGAGTTACCCCGGCATGTGTAAACGTTTCCATGTGGCCACCGACACTTCTAATGTTGGCATTGCAGCAGTGCTTTATCAAAAGTATAATAACAAGAAACATGTTATTTCTTTCATGGCAAGGGCTCTCACTAAATCAGAGCGCAATTACATGGTCACCAAAAAAGAGATATTGGCAATCATCTTTGCTTTTAAGAAATATCATAAGTACTTATGGGGCAATCGCTTCACTTTATACACTGACCACAAAGCACTCACCTGCCTGCACCAGCAAAAAGAGTTGAATTCCATGTTAACTAATTGGTTCACAACCCTTTACAACTACCAGTTTGATATCGTGCACATCACTGGCAAATTAAACGGTATGAGTGATGCACTCTCACGTCTCTTCCATACCGGAAGCGACTTGGAGGGGGCAAAGGGAAATGATAAACCTAGAATCATAGATGAAGGTAACAATAACCCATCACACGTAGGGGTCCTCAAGATAATCGCAAAATCGAGAAAATCGCGATTCGATTCGATTCGATTCGATTCGATTAGATGTTGAAAATCGAAATAATCGAGGTTCGATTATTTGCAAGAATCGAAGAATCGAGTTGGCTTTTTAACTTATAGTAATACCGATGTTTATATATATGATTTACAATACTAAAACTTCTTTGCTATGATCTTGCTATTACTGGTTACTGCAATGATGAATGGGAATGTGGCTATTAACTACTCATCGTGTTCGCGTTCATTTATACCATCAAAGAAAGATTGCCATGATCCTAACAGCATCAGCTGCTTAATAGTGTCTGGAGCAAGCCTATTGCGTGTGTGAGGAAGCATTAATCTAGTTGCTGAGAAACAACGTTTTGATGGGGTTGATGTAGCTGGGATTGCAAGATAACGTGCAGCCATACGAGACGAACTTGGCCAACGCGTAGCTGCTGATTCCCAAAATAGTAGCTCTTGAGGTTTATCCTTGGTCACCATTGGTGGCAATGATCGTTCAGCAACATATTCCTTCAATTCGTCATTGGTTGGCTCCAATAGAAATAATTCATGCAAGGCTTGGCTTTGTTCACTGATCTCAGGTGCAACAGGCACCATGCCTGAAAACTTGCTCCACGTATCGCAAACGGATTTCTCGGCCTTGTCCTTTATGCTTTTTTCCTATCTCGAACGTGTCCACCAATCAAACCTCATTCGTGGATCCATTGCAGTTGCCACAGCGTATACTTCTGTGTCATCGGTCCTTCCATAATATGGCAGCAATTTTTCACGTCCAGCCTTTGCAGCATCTCGTAGATCTTGTGGACATGTGGGGTTCTCGACGGTATCATCAAAGTCCTCGAGTTTATCAATTAACCGATTGTAGCTAAGGATCGTCATGTTGACCGTGGTATGAGACGTGCTTGCTGATAGCATCCTTGTGGCATGATCAAAAGGTTCCAGGAGCTTGCACATATGCTCCACGCGATCCCATTCATCACCTTCCAATGCAAAATCCTTAAGGTCACCATTTGCTGTCATAGCCATGTATGCTTCTTTGAGTTTGAGTGCACGATTAAGCATCTCATAGGTGGAATTCCAACGCCTGCGAACATCCAGTGTTAACTTGAGAGAAGGGCATTCCATTGCGATACGTTTGCGTTCAAAAGTGGCTGATCGTTGTGGTGATGTTCTATTTTTCCATACATGTTGATGAGAATGCGCACATACCACATACGTTGTAATCATTAACGAGCTTACCTGATCTTCAATATGCCTTTTCTCAGCTTGGCAAGGGTAGTGGTATCACAGAGATCATTATCCACATCCATAATATCTTCTGGTGCCTCTGAAGAAAACCCATTCTTGATTATCTCTTGTACTGCAAGATTGATGACATGGCCAACACATGGGATACGTCGAGTTGCCATGAAAGACCTATACTACATGTAAGCATCATAGCCCATAGCTGGTAACGAATACCACATTGCAACATACCATGCATTGTCTTGTAATGAATGTGCTTCAAGCAGGTCAGCCATCTTCTCCATGTTCGATGCATTGTCGGTGGTTATTGTGAACAACTTTGCACCAAGACCAAGGTTATCCAACAAAGTGGTAAAAGCGCTTGCAAGGTTCTCACTTGTATGTGGTCCATCAAGAGGTTCAAATCCCAACATGACTTCTTGCATGGTTCATGTCTTCTCACATATCCAGTGGCCTGTCACTCCAAGAAAAGCCTGATTGAAGGGGCTGGTCCAGCAATCCAAGGTGCATGAAATGGCAAGCAAATCATGTAACACGGTCCTAAGCCTATCATAGCATGCATGGTACTCCATAGTGGTCTAAAAGATAAGATACATCAAAACAATATCAGTATATAAGTATAACTGGTACGTTGCATTCCCTAGCGCCTTATTCTATATGTATCTAACATACCTTCCTTGCAAATGTAACAGCGTTTGGAAGTTTGATAGCAGCCATTGTTGGTGCCGTTTGCGCCATCTCCAACGATCGTTGAAGGTGCTTATTTTCAGACGTGGTAAATGGCAGTTTGCCGGACACAAGGAACTTGATGAATTGCTGGTTGAATTCATTTTGGTCGAATGTTCTGGTACGCTTTGCCAGAAATGAATCAAGTGGGCCTCCTCGTTTCTTATCGTGTGCATGAGGCCCAGTGAACTCGGTAATGCCATGCGAGTTGCGAAGGTGCGTGATAAATGTTGTTGTAGTTTTCTTGATACTTGAATACATCTTGGTACAGTTGCCAACTTTGCAACGGATACGCTCCTTGCCTTGTTCAGTCATGTATCGTTCACCATACTTGTAGGCGAAAATCCAGCTGCGTCCTTCTTCACTGGTACTGGCCTGGTCATTGGTGTTGGCATCATCCTCTTGTTGCATAGCATTTTGCATACCAGGTGCTTGTGGGCCATCACCATCCTGAGCACCATCATTATCACGATACGTAGGTGCATCCATTGAACCCGAGATCGAAAATTCCATTTCGCTGCCATTTCGATCATCCATGGAATAACTCATTCTTGTTGAATCGTCAGATGTAAACGACAAAGTGGACATAGATGCATTGGTAGTACTTTTGGCAGGAGGTACACGAGCTTGTTCATTACATTCAGCGGTCTGTGAATCATATCGCATTCCATTAGTTAAAGCTTAAGATTCACCAACAACGCGACAATGATAATCATTGTCAACTTACGCCCTCATAGATTGCACCAAGGGGGTTTCGTGAAGAGCTGCCATAAACCATTGGGAATAAACAAACGAGTTGCAAGGGAAAAATATCAGTTGAAAAGTGGAATGGAGGATAATGTATGGTCTCCAACAGGAGAAATTGAGTACCCTTTTATATCTTTACAAAACATCGCTATTCTCCCACACCTCTGATACAGGATGATTAAACATGAACAAATAGGCATAATAGTGACAGTATCTCTAAAGCATCCTAGGGGCATAATCAGGATGGAAATCGTTCAATTACCGATTACGGTATGTACATCATGCGTGTGGTTGTAATTCATGCATGTCGAAGCGGAGTGACCACACATGTGACAAAGGCCTCCAGTCACCTCCAATCGCCCTTATGACTGATTATGGTGGGAAATGCGAAATGCACAATGAATATCGTCCTTGGTGCATTCATGCAGTCACCTGTCTTTGTGCGTGTGACGAATTACGGTGGGAAACTGTTAATACTGATAGTAAATAGGCACCCACGTTCAGCAACCAGCATGCAAAGCGAGGGTGATGGGAGCCTCGCATTGAATGGGTATCCACATGTTAACATGTAAGCAACAAAAGCATTTCCCGTAAACATAAACTCGCCAAATACACACGCAACCATGCTCCATTGAGTGCTCCATGTGGAAGTAATGAGATGCCCATGGCCCCAGGTCAGGTTGCCAATGAGGCCTCATGCCTCATGCATCGCGCGAATGCAATTGCAGCGTGGACATGAAGACATGAATGCTACTTTATTTACACTCGTTTAATGAAAGATAGACACTACCAAGGCTCAACAATCCTAATAACCAACAGTTGCCATGGCTACACGTGACAAATAAACCATCGTTTACCGAGCGACATCGTGACCACCTACTACCCAGCAGCTATCAGCAGGATGTTGTGTAACCCGGCAGATCATCTATGAAGCCTCGATTCTCACGATTCGATTTTTCGATTTTTCGATTCGATTCGATTCGATTCCCACATTTTGAATAATCGCACGATTACACCAAAAACTCGAATCGAAATAATCGTGAGGACCGCTCATCACACATAAACCGAGTTGCACGCATGATAGAAGAAAACACCATAGTTCCACCAGATAATGAGAGGCAAGACATATTGAAGAATGCTCACCTTCTCGGACATTTCGGAGCTAATGCTATAGTCCAGGCTATACATAACAATGGTATTCATTGGCCCAACTTAAAGCAAGATGCAATTGACTTGGTAATGGCATGTGCAAAATGCCAAAAGTTCAACATTGCTCGAAGAGGCTATAACCCATTGAGGACTATATCAGCAGAAATGCCAGGTGCCCATTGGGCCTCAGACCTTGCAAATTATGAGATGTCTCAATCAGGAAATCGAAACCTCTTGGTCCTTGTGGATATGTGTACACGATTCTGTATACTACGCCCCATACCTAATAAAGAGGCCGAAACGATTGTCAAGACATTAGTACAGGTGTTCTGTGACTTTGGGTTACCACGTGCAATACAATCAGATAATGGCAAGGAATTTGTCAATAACGTGATGAAGCGTTTTGCTAGAGCATCAGGATTTGAACACCGTTTGGTCGTACCATATCACCCCAAAGCTAATGGTTCTGCGGAAAGATGCGTCCAAAAAGCTACGCTGTCTATCAAAAAAATGCTTGAAGGCGCCACATTTGAGTGGGATCATTACGTGCCAGCAGTACAACTCGCATTGAATGCAAACGTTACGGCACGTCACAAAACGCCTCCATTCACACTCATGTTTGCAAGAAAGATAAACGATTTCAAAGATTACCGCAACGACGCAGAAGCAAAACCTATGTCAGAGGAGATGCTAAAGAAGCGCGTTGATGAGATGAGAAACATCGTGTTTCCAGCAATACATGAAAGGACAAAGACAGTGACTAAGCAACAAGAGTTGCAATTCAATAACACGCAAAAAATAATGGAATATGAGATCGGTGATTTCGTAATCGCTCGGGAACCAGAGTTGACTGGCAAGTTTAACCCGACCTATAAGGGTCCGTATAAGATCATAAATAAGACTCAAGCACCCTCCTATGTCTTACAAGATTATGAAGGAAGAGTGTTGCCACGCAACTATCCACCAGAGCAATTGAAGCTCGTACGAGTCATGCAAGAGATCCCAGCTGATGAAATTTATGAACTCGAAAACATCGTTGATCATAAGAGAATTTCAGCGATCCCACCATAATCAGCAAGTATTGGAAAAGGGTTAGAGGGGATCCAAAACAAGTCCTTCAACAACACATGCAAGGCAAACGCAAACGCAAAGCACAAGAAACGGCAATACAATAGGAAGACTCGAAGCAGACAATAAGCTTCTCCATCGGCTTAAGAGCCTGGAGGGGGGGCAAATGTCATGTCCAGGGATAAACAAGGAGGTTGAATTTGTCCTAATAAGGGATACATTATAAATGACATTCCTCTTGAATAGGATAAAAGACCACTAAGACACGCATGAATAAAGACATCATCATATACACGGTCTCACCGTACTTTTATTGTTACCCATTTACTATCTTCAAAGATAAACATCACACAAGGCCACACACGCGTGTCATGCCGAATTAACCGTCCATTGTTGCAAGGCTGCCATCCATGCTGCATTGACCTCCAATCTCTTCCCTTTTGTCTTTTTTCTCTCGACCAATATTGCTGTAAAGATGTATTTCGTATGCTGTTGAGTGATAGTCGGTGCGATATTGACTGCAATAGTATATAGTTGCCATTCACTTCCCAAGCTGAAATGTACGCCATGTATTGTTTTGCATCGCCAATTTCCCACACGTCATAGTTTCCAATAGTTGTTTTAGACGAAAGTTGATAAAGCGAACAAGTACAGTCGAAAAGAATAACCTAAAAGGGGTGCTGTGGTGTGTTGGTTGCTAGGCAACAAGGCAAGGTTGATTGAAAGAGCAGGCTCAGATCCAAGAACAAGAAAGATGACAATGACTAAACTAAGAATGTTAGATCAATTGTATAAGGATATCCCGTATACAACTAACCTGGTAACAAGGATAAAGGTAACAAGGAACAAGGACAAGGACAAGGACAAGAGCTACAACGATGCAAGAGCTAATCTATAATAGAAAGGGTGGCCGTTAGGTACACAATCACAACACGTCTGTGCAAGATCACGTACCAAGCGACAAGACAAAGACAAGGATCAATGAGCAAGATATCAAGGCTAAGACTAGGCAAGGACAAGAGTAGAGCACAAAGGCACAAGATAATCAGACTGAGGTTTATTAGGTACGAATGATAGCTTATTTATAATAAAAGGAAGGAATGATGAGAATGAGAACAAGAATGAGGTATGCAAGTAAACATCCGAACAATGATCATGACATGTGGTGTAAGTGTAAAATAGAAGTGCGTGTGTGTGTAGTAGCAGTAGAAAGGGGGGGATTTTTCCAAGTCCAACCACGCAGCGGGGTAGGAATGAGTAGAGTGGGGGGTGAATCAGGCGAAAATTGGCTAAGTGCTGCCACTCAGCAGGGGAAAACAAGTGAATTTTTTCTAAGTCCCACCACTCAGTGGGGGATGGATGGATGCAGCGGTGGATGGATGGGTGATGGATGCACAAGTTATCCTCAAAAAGTAATAAAACGAAAGCCAGCACCTCCATCCTTCCATTCCAAGGTCGAAATTTCACTTACAGCTCCTAATCCATCAACACGCGCAAAACACCACCTATACACGTTTTCAAAACACGGCATAAACACGAAAAACACGAACTTTTTCCTCCTGTGAGACACAGGACTTGGCAAGTCGTTTTCATGCCGTGTTTAGGGAAGTGTTTAGGCCATGTTGGGAACAAGTAAAGGTAGTTTTTATGCTTTTTTGTCATGGGCAAAACACTACATGAATCTGCCGTTTTAAGTGCCGGTTTAGAGGCAGCAAGTTACACGATACCGATGGGGGGATCGATTCAATAGGCAACGCCATTGGCTTGTGAATGCCGTTTGTGTAGCTCTATTGCTATCGTTCATTGGGTTATATGACCGGACTGTAGGTGCTATTACTACCATCATTGGGCTATATACACGCTATCCATACACACTATTCCTTTTACACAATATCTCCATCCAATGATAATACACATAGCGAGAGAGAAATATAGTACGCAAAAACTTTTATTCATTCAAAAGCCACAAAAACTATACTATGAACATCTACACGCGCTGTAGCAGCGAGCCTGAGACGAGCACATGTACCTCTAATAGCCGAAAACAACCATAGCAGGAGCTACGAGACAATGTACAAAGGCCGAACAGGATCATTTCCTAGCTTACCTCGGCATACAATGCTTGAGTAGATCGAAGGGAAAACAAGTATCTAAGCAAGTACAAAACAATCAGCAGTATACTCCAATAACATACCTTTGATACATGACAACAACCAAGAAAGGTACTCTAAGTCAAAAGAAAGGCACGTTAGAATGATGTATGATAACGCGTGTTTGATGCTTTATACTCACTCTTTGCAGCAACGCCAACGATGGTACAAACAGGTTACTGTTTAACTTGCAGCGACACGACCATTTGATAGATCGACAAAGCCATGGAAGTAAAACGAGGGTGCATGTGACTAAGGAATGAGTGTGAGTAGATGAAGTTTGGGCTTCGTAGCAAGATGTGTATTTACCTGGAGTCGAGAAAAGTGAAGTAGAAAGCAAAAGAAAGACGCGTAAACAAATGCCTGTGACCCCCTTGCTTATAAGCAAAAATCGGAGAAATGGGTTCACTTGGCGCTCAGCTCTTGTTCTCTTGCTCTTGCTAGCATCTTGGGTTATTCCTGTAAAGCAAGTTGTATAACTGTCGTAGACACAGCTTAATCATCATAAAGTGGTTCCCACAGCTGTCATTTAATTCTCCTTCTCATCTCATGTTTGTCACACCTACATTCTCCCACGCATAAATCTTATCCTATATGGCTGTCAGGTACATGGGCACAGACGCGTACGTAAGATTATGGGTATATCGAGAATACCATCATCGTTACTAATCATGGTGTGAGGGCGTCGGAGAATCAGGTTATAGCAGGATCAATCATTTAGTATAAAAGAGTGGACGTCTTCATTGAATAAAGGGGATCTTCAGTCGCACTTGACTTATCATTGTCTCTTTTTTGTAATCTCATTCCATTTTATTCCACTCGATCACATTTTTTTCAAGTGAATTCTGCTCGGTTGAAGGGTAAAATAAGGGTGATCACTTCATCCCCTGCTATCTCATCCCTCTGCCACCAATCTAAGTACTGAAAAACATTGGCTATGCACTTTTTAGAGCGCCCAATCTTGTGAAATATGTCATTTCGTTCTCCGACCCAACCCTGGCCACCAATTGAACCTTCGATAAATAAGAAATTGTATGTATTTAGATGTGGCCAAAATAATCTACCCTATGAATGTCTAGCCCTTTTAGTGGGACGGGGAATATAAACCTCATCCTCGCTTTCATCATCTGCGGCCAATTGAACCTCTGTAAGGTATCAAAAGTGTCGGTGATAAGATTGCTATTAGTCTATTGTCAGCGCGCGAGTCAATAAGGCTTTGAGACAATCTTGTATACTTTGATCCATCATTCAATGCTGTTTTCGCATACAAAGTTACCGCAGCAATCACTGTATCATAGCAACCATGTTGTCATGGCGACCAGCTTACCGCAGCAACCTGCCAATCTAATTTGGGAACAATGGAAATCTCGGTGTCCTTTCCACACTTCTTCCATCCTCAAGCGATCATTCATGCACAACCACGTGCTGCTGTCATCTTTGACACCTCTCCATCACATCATCTTCTTACACTTTTCCCCATACACCCTTAGAATAGAAACACCCTTGAACCAATTGTATCTCTCCACTTTGTATCATTGTTTGATTAGAAACTTCCCCACATTGTTGTATCTCCCACCGTTGTATCCATTTTTAACCCTGCACCAATAATGTTCAACGTCTTTTCGTTATTTCCTTTTTACTTTTTCATGCAACAGCTGTGTCAACATCCATTGTGCATTACTGCGGCAATCACATGAAGGATCGAGCATGCGTTGTTTCCATGCGCACGTTCTAAAGATTAGACGTCAAAAGATATATAAACCCTCAGAATGAAGTGAATAAACCAGCAGCTTAGCTCACAATTTATCTTAACTGAATCTCTGTTACGAGCCCTCGCAAGCCAAAAAGCGCTGCCAGAGGCACATTTATCTTTGAATCTTCAATCTGAATCTTACTTTTGCCTGCATCGGCCCTCTCATCACTCAACAAACTTGGTGATCCAATCATCTTTACATCACTTCTAGCCAACGTCGGCAGCTTTGACTTTTTGCTTTCCCAACCATTTCACCCCTTTCTCGATTACAACCTCTTCCCTTTGCCCAACTCGGCTACAACCTACACGTTCTACCTCTCTCCTCCCCACCTTTACATCATCTTCTTTGATACTTTTAGATAAAGTATCTGGTGCTCACTATCCAATCTCCTTGTAACCACGTTGTACACGCATTGAGATTACCCAATAAACCATCCAAATCAAACCCTGCTCTTACAAGTGGTGCTCAATCTAAAGTCCACTCACAAAACCCAACTTTCAAATCCCTATACAAAACCTTGCCCTTACACGTGGTGCTCACTACAGGGGTGAGATATTAAAGACAACAAGCGATATCTCTCCAGACAAGCATTACTAGACAATCCTCAAGACATTTATTGTCAATCAAATCAAACTACTCTACCACAAATCCTACCTCACCATGGCGACAAATCAAACGACTTCTGGCGAACTTACTGTGTTGGATCCACGCACCAGCGCTCTCTTACCTCTACCACCATTATCATTCTCTGGATTGGAACATGAAAACTTTCGACACTTTCGGCGCGACTTGGAGTCATTCATCCTCATAAACGGCATTGATACAAACCATAGACGAGTCAATGTCCTTCAAGCAGTATTACGGGGAAAAGCTTTGGCATACTTTGAAAGAGTCATCAAGCCCAAATACAAGGTTGAAACACCTGACGAGACCGACATACGATTCAGCGTCTCGTACTTTGACGCATTGGAAGATCTTCAAGACCACTATGTCACGGAGTACGACATCCTTCGCTTTCGCAACCGATTCGAGACCTCCACACAACGCAACAATGAGAGTCCACGATCATTTCTTGGACGACTTCGAGAACTAGCTTATGAAGCAAATGTCACCGATGAGATTCTCATCAAGTCAAGATTCAAATCCGGGTTATTACCTGAAATCAAACGACATTGTATCCTACTACAAGCAATCACGCATGAACAAGTCTTCAATACGGCCGAAGGATATTGGGAAGCACAACGCATTGGTGACGACTTCTCATCATATCACCAGCAACAAAGACGAAATGAACGTGCAATGTTCACCAACATCGAGACACAACCCGAAAGCCAATATCGACATCCATATCAAGAACCGGAGCCATATCAACCACAAGCTTTCCAAAGACTACGACCACAATTGCGGTTTTCAGAAATTGATCCAACGACTACATCCTCAAGCAACCAATATCCACAATGGCGAACATTTCAAGAATATGGATCGAGGAACCAAGCATCGAGATATCAAGGACCAAGGAATCAAGGACCAAGGAATCAAGGAACAAAGAATCAAGAACAAAGGAATCAAGGACCAAGGAACCAAGGATCATGGAATCAACAAGAAAGGCGATACGACAATCGGCGATACAATAATTATCAACCAAATGATCGGCGACAAGAACGACCACCTCCAAGACAACAAGATGAAGTACGGCAATCATATCAGCAAGAACCGAGGAGACCCCAATACCAGGATAATAGGCGACCGAACCAAAACCAAGAATGATCACCCCAAAATGGAAGCTCAAGACAATCGCAGCAAGAAAGCTTCGCCCATTTGGAATACTATCCGGAGACATACCACGAACAACAAGGCCATCCTCAATACCAAGAATGGGATCACCGATATCCATACGAGGAGGAATGCTTCGAAGACGATGGCGACTATTACGATCAAGCAAGATACTCTGGCGACATGTATCAAGAATGGCCATCCACCCAACAGCCAAAAAACTAATGGGGCGGATCGCTGAGAGCCGTCGATCCATAGCCCCTCAACACACCAAAACCGTTCGCTGGAACCCTGAACATTACAATGAATACCAACCACAAAGAATCCATCAACAAGACCTCTATACCTTTGATCCATACAACGAAGATGATGCATACGCATATGAGCCACCATATTGCGTTCCACAAGAAGACGACCTCTACGATAATGTAATGCGTCAGGATCCTTACTATCACAACGACATCGATTACGACATAATTACCCAGCCAAATTACATGCTACTTGATCCCGAGGAAAACCCAATGGATTCGTACAATAATGATCACGACTTATACGCATCCGGATATAAAACGAGATCGAATGGCGAACAAAGAGATCGTACGCGTTGGGACCCAAAATCACATCGAGCAATGAAACCATCAAGGCCCGCAAGAAGGAATATCACGTTTGCCGATGATGAAGAATACATCGAACCACCACAAAGCCAACAAAGTCAGGGCATACAAGCTGTCAATACACCCACGCAAGACGAATCGTCAACCGTACAACAAGCTGGACCATCAAACATACAGCAATCAGTACCAGTTCAGTCAACAAGTCCACAACGACCAGCTCCAAATCAATCGACACAGCGCTCTACACCTACCAACCAGCAATCGGCATCAACAAGACGCACCATTCCAGAAGTACGATCAACTAGCACGGTACCAAGGAGAGCGACACAAGTGGAAACAAGAGACACAGAAATGTCCGAAGCCACCCCCACAACAAGAGTTACCCAAGCAACGCAAGCAGGAGTCAGCCACACGAAACCTAAAAAGAAACGGGTCCCACGTGAAAAACCCATTATCGATTATGATGTTGTCGACGATGTCATGAATCGAGTAGCAAACATTACCGTACAAGACCTCGTGGTTGAATGAAAAGATAGGGGACCACATTTCTACGCACTGCAAAAAGTTGTGAATGTCGCTTGTTCTTCATAAAACCTTACCCATATATACATTCGGACCTCGCCAATTCAATGCTGGTAACCATGTGTATCTCCGACCTCTGATTGGCAAGAAATCGCCGAAATAAAAACGTCTCCTTTTCACTGAATTGACCATATCGGCATACGATGTCAAAAACGTACTCCGATGTTCCTCCAAATCTGTTCACATATGGACGCCGCAATACCAAATCTGGGAAAAAAGATCCG